ACGTCCTATAAAGCAAATTTTGCTGGAGCGTGGTACTGTGGAAAGGGTCTTCTATGCCTTGTTTGACCCAATTCAATTCTGTTTATATAATTACTACAAAATAATAAATAATATGATCTATGTGCACATATAGTATAAAGTAAAATAGTACACAAGACTCTACTCTCTATGTAAAATATATTGTATTATGTTCGTTAGGTTTATGAAATGGTTGATGAATGGTTGATGAGTGGTTGTGTTTTTACAAGCCAAGCCATTATATGTCATCATGATTGAACATTATATATAATGTGGAGAGATGTTGCACAAAAAGTAGTGTTTTCTTGCCATTGAACACATTACTACTACTTATCCCAATTTCCTCAACATTTTGGTTACACATCATTATGGTTTTCCCTTAGTCTTGTGGGTCCATTGTGTGTGTGTGTGTGAAATGAAAAGCCAGGACTTATTCACAAGTGAATAGCATTTTGTAGACTACAAAATGAAACGGCAGGACTTAATTCACAAGTGAATAGTACTTTGTGGAGTCAAAATATGGTCTGCAAACCTGTGCATACTTGTTTCCTGCTTCTGGATTCACAAACCTTTGACCAAATGTACACAGGGCCATGCCAAGAATGAATCCCAACAAAGTGTAAAATAAAAGCAAATGCAATTGCTTTTGCTTTTGCTTTTTTATTGGGAGTGGTCTAAACTAAAGCAACAACAGCTATCTTTCAAAATTATGCAAATATTTATTGGGAGATAATCTATCTCTATAAATTGCTAAATGCATTCTTATTTACTGCTTTTCTTTTTATACATATCAATATCAAAATTCACTTTTTACTGATTTTCTTCTTATACATATCAACATCAAAATTCACTTTTTAAATTCACAGTGCATAAATTAACCTAAAAAAGGGTGCAAATAGCATTGCCCTATTTATTTGAGTAAATTACATCCCTGGGATTTGTTAAAAATTATGGATTTTGTCCCTGTGGTTTTAAAATTTGATTTTCATTCTTATGGTTTGTAATTCATTTTTTTTTTCCATCTCTAAGGCCAAAACACTACTTTTAAATAAGAATGATTAAAATAAAAATAAATTGTAAACCATAAGGATGAAAATCATTAAAACAAAAATAAAAAATTTCAATAAACACAAGGACTAAAAACGTAATTTACTCTATTTATTTATTTTAATATATGATAGTAATCAATATTTTCATGCACACGGCAAAAATGGCTGCCCAAGAGATCTCTTCCCTCTACCATAATATTATTATAAAAATAACAAAACAACTCCCCATTAACATATATCTATACTATATTATAAAGCATTTGACTAAAACTCTTAAAAACTCTTAAAACTCTTAAACTCTTAAACTCTTAAAAACTCTTAAACCCCTTCATCTCTATCCGATCTCGTCCCATATCTGAATTCGTGTAACTAACTGCAGATAAACACAATCAAATACATGATAAACATCTCATTTTAAATATAAAAAATATAAAATATAATTAGGATAAT